TGGAGATGGAATACGAACGCTGTATGAGGGTTAGTGCGGAGGACCTGAACTTGGAGCCAGGGGTGTACATACGTGAAGGGTGTGAAATGCTGGCACAATTACGGGACCAGTGGGTCATGCTGCCAGAATTGAGCGAATTGCACCCACAATGTGACATCGATCAGGCCGATGTAGGCGTCCCAGGTCGGCCCTCTCCCGAAGATGAATCCAGGATGCGTGCAATCCTGAAGCACCATAGAAAGATATTCCTGGGTGATGGAAATCCCGCACCTGCTCCCGCCAGAGGAGTAGTGTGTGACTTCGATGTAGGAGATGCCAAACCTATCGCATTGCGCCCAATGTCAATTGGACCGCATGTGGCAGTTAAGGTATACGAGGTTATCAAGACTCAAGAAACTGCTCGAGAACAATCTGATTGAACATTCTGAATCGCAGTGGGCATCTCCGATCGGGATCGTGCTCAAAAAAAATGGAGTGGACATCAGGATGTGTATTGACTATCGACTTGTGAATAATTTCATCCAGCTGTCTAGCTATCCGCTGCCTCTCATCGACGACTTGCTAGTCGGTTTTGAGAAGGCGCTCTGGTTCATGAGCCTGGATATGGCCAGCGGTTTCTGGGCAATCAAGATGACCGAAAGAGCCAGCCTTCGTATGTCCGTTTGGACATTTTCAGTGGATCCGGATGCCATTTGGTCTGAAAAACGCACCCCTGATTTACCAGCAAGTGATCAACAACTGCCTGTGGGGATTTGTGCGTCTGCCACCAGAAGAGGAGGCAGAAGTAGACCAAGAAGTTTTGGATTACCTGAATCTGGACCCCCAGGATGACGGATCTCCAGGATGTGGAACTCCACGATGCAGCGGTTGTGAGAACGACCATGCTTCTCGGTTGTTGCCGACCCTGGCGGACCAAATGACAGTGTTCAAAAGGAACATCCCTGCCCCAACCCAGATGTCACCTGTCCTAGGGTGCAGCTCTTATATCGATGATATCGCACACGGCGCACCAACTTGGGATGCACT